AAAGCGTTGGAATAAATTGGACGAATTATGCCAAGAATACTGGTGCCGTCCGAACAATCAGTGCGGGAATCGCATGTTAGTGATGTTACTGGGATGCTCTCTACGCCGGGAGCAGCTGTGTCAATCCCATGTTGTACAACTTCGTTAGTACTTACCGCCTTTTTCGATGTGGAACTCATCAAAACACAAACGTAGCCCCAGAATTATCATAAGATTTTCCACATGCAAAATGCACTACCATGGAATTTATGTGATCAAATGATGATGTGCTTTTCGATGGTGCATTTTCACTGGAAATGCGATGCAGTGCTGCGTTATCCAGAACCACCACGGAATTCGGATGCTCGATGAGTCGCGCAACTGTCAAAATTGAATTATACGGCTGCACAATAACATCGCTTGCTTCCTTCTGCATCGCCGGAAAAACTGAGTATGTATGTACTAATTTCTTTGGAAATCTGAAAGTTTTTTCAAAAAAACTAAAAATCACAAGGAATGTTCATGAAAAATTTATAAAAAAACTTTCGAAAATTTTAGCGAACGAACTATTTTCTCGCGCATTCGTTTCTCACTATGCATGAGGAGATTTTCGTCTATTCTTTTTGATAATACTAAAATGTTGCGCAATTAGCATGGAAATTTTTAGAAAAGTTTTATTTTACTTTATCTTTTTTATGAAAATATTTTGATGAAAATATGATGAAATTTTATGATGAAAATACGAAAATATTTTATGAAAATGAAAATTATGAAAATGAAAATATGAAAATTTTATAAAAATTTTATGAAAATATTTTATTTTAAGAAGATTTTATCAAATGTTCAAACACTTTCGACTCATCATATATGGCACTAGTGCATCTACAGCTGTTAATTTAAAAAAAAAAAAATCGAAAATCCTCAAAAGCAAATAAGCGATAAGTTTGTTTATGCGAAACTAACCGATCAGAGATTTTCTCGAGTGCATGCGACCCCATTCCGGAGCCAGTGCCGCCCGATATTGAGTGGCATATCTGAAAACCTTCCAAATAATCACTGCTTTCGGCTTCCCTTTCGAAAATGTCAAACAGAGCTTCTTCTGCTTCCCTAAACAA